ATTTTTTAACCAAGATTAAATCTTGTATTTTTTTTAGATTCTTTTTGATTTGTTCTCTAGCATTTTCGATTGCAAATAGACATACAAACATCTTGGCAACCTAGTCTAACCTCACTCGCTTCCAAAAGTCTAAAATGCTCTATATCTGTCCTGACATATATGGATAACACTCTCTAGATATCCCAATCCAAGGAAAGCCTAGAGAGAATAATACAAACAGCCTCCTTATTCTATGATATGGCAAATATTCAAATTAATCCTTCTAAATCAATTTTTATATCCAATCAAAAAGCAGCCAACATTTTCCTTATACAAGTAAATTTAGCTTCAATCCCACCCAACCAGCTATTCAAATTCCTTGAATGTTGGTTTACACTTAACTATAAACAGACTAAACAAATCAAACTAATCTAGGACAAAGCCCTCAATCTGGTATATATAGCCAATACAAAGATGATTACTGACAAACAAATTATCTATGTAATTAATACAGTAGTAATTCCAATACTAGAATATAGAATTTACAATATCGTTATTCCACAATCCACATGTCTCAGAATCCTTGGCAAATATCTTATAGTTGCTAAACACAAAGCTCACCTTTCACGTTCTACTCCCAATAGTACAATGCTTAATCACAATATTTATAATATACACAATATCTGGGATATTCAGCTTCAATACCATGCTAGCAATCTTCTTCTCAAAATTAACAATGACTCTATCTTAGATATTACTACACACATTAGGCTTCAACAACTGCAAAACAATCTCTAGTCGACTATTAGCATACTGCAGCATCCCAAACCTGCTATTGATGGACCTAATAGATATACTACTACTTGCAAAGTAATCTAGCTTATACAGCAAGCAGGTATAAGCATAACAGTTGATAGCAATAGAGCGTGGCCACAGACAGTTCAGGATAGTAACACTCCTCTTGAACTATACTAGTTAAAAGTAACGAATATAGTACATTCAAACAATAGCTTAAAAACAAGCATATTCTCTACCTAGAGCAATTATGCTCTGCTGACAACAAACACCTACTAGAATGGCAACATATCTCACCAAGAATCTTACACATGCCCAAAGGGAAAAAGCCCTACTGGTTCTTGTTTCTAGAAAATACTATAATTAATAACTTAGAACACCACTACAATGATACTCAATACCAACCTAAAGGCACTAACTCATTTGCTTATCAATCCAACATCATCTCTAAAAGACTAAAACCATGGCTACTTACTTATCAGCACAATGAAATAATTATCAGCCAAATTAGAAAGAGATTCAAACAAACTAACACTATTTCTATCACACACTGGCAACACAATATCAATACTCAGCACTACTTGCTATACCCTCTACCTCCTATTATATGTCACACATGCCTAGGCTGCAATCTTAACTCTAATCGTCTTGAAAACTACTGTACTATTGAAGTTTCTACTATACTATCTACACAATTCCTGGAAAGAAAAACCAAGAACAAAGAACTCAAACTTAATGCCAATTACATTGACTTATTGTATTCTACTACAATTAAACACCCTATCACTATTCCACCTCTACCCAGCATTAATATTACAGATTCACTAGCTTCAACCCTCTTCCAGAACAGTGCAGCTTGCCAAGCACTCATGCAGACTGCCTATTCAAACTATAATGCTCAATACTTCACATTCTATACAGATGGTTCTGTATCAAATATAGGTACTAATGAATGCTCAATGGGCATTGGTTGGGTACAAATCGACAATAATCAATCTAACCACATTGCTAACTGCTTTACTGCCAAGATTACCAACTGGCCCTCATCTTACAAAGCTGAGCTAATGGCAATTCTAACAGCCATCTCTACACTACCATGTGATACCAAAGTCAACATATATACAGATTCCCAATCTGTTATTTATAAATATCACAAAATTTCTTCACATCTCTCCTAAGTCTTCAAAATATTTCAAATTTAACTCTGGCCTATTTGGTATATACTTCTTAATGCTATCAAGACCTTCAATATTCAGCTTACACTCCTCAAAGTCCAGGCACATGCCAATGACTACTTTAATACACTTGCTGATACCCTAGCCAAAAAACACCAACACTCATCTACACTCCTCCTTCATCTTAATCACACAAATATATATAACCCATACTTTGTTCTACAATGGAAAGGGTACTATATAAAAAAACCCACAAGACTGTTTGTTAAAAAAACCTGCTGAGCCTACACAACTGCTATATGGTTATCACAGAAGCATAATACTGAATAGGAAAACTTTACTGAAACAATTGACTGTAACTCTACTTGGCGCAATCTAAACAATAATCAAAAAGCCACTTCTAACATTATATCCCCAAGTTAAATCCTTTAGAGTTAAAACCCTTCTCAATAATCTGCCAACTAATTTCTATTTCTATCTTATCTATCCAAGCCTTTTTCTAGCTAGTATCTGCTTTTCTTGTAATGCTATTAGTTCTTTTTCATATTGGCTTACTTGCCATAGCTTCCAGTCTCTTACCAAAATCATTAGTATATCCACTACAGCAGTGGTTATAAACAGCCCTTGTAATCTCAAACCTTTGCAACATAGAGCAATAGTTGATCTTATTACATAACATCACTCATTTAATTACTCCACCTCAACTCCACAACTAATACATGATATAACTATTACTATGAAAGGCCTTATTTCAACTCAGTTAATTCAAGCACTTCAAACTCTGGATATACAATATAGAATTGCTGCTGAAATTACTACTCAAATATTGCTAAAAATATCTACAGTGACTTATGAGCAAATCTGGAAGCCATACTGTGAAAGTTTTACAGTATGGAAGAAGCAACAGGATATACTAGCATATAATACAGAGGATACCTTACAAAATCATGCTTACAAACCTATCCAACAGGTTTAGGTCACAGATAACTAGTTTAGCCAAAGTTCTCTGAGCTTTAGTTGAGCTTCTAGTCTGAGCTCTCACTCTTGAATATAATTTATATGCTTTTGTTAGTATACAAATTAAGTATCTATATATCCCATGTATTTACTTGTATAAATTACCCAATAAAGATATGAGCAAGGCCTCACCTTAATACCAAAAATAAAAAAATAAAAAAATAAATATAATATTTTAATAATATAATAGCAATCAGTTTAAAATAATTAAATAATATAACTACTTTGCGGAAATCATACATTTTTATGCAAGCCTAATAATCGAATTTTTTAAGATCAATAATAGGAATTTATTAGCCTATTGTCAAGCTTGTTAATTGTGCTAGTAAGAAACTATTAAACAAATAATTTAGAAATATAATAGTATACATTAAGCTTCTATAATAATTATGTTAATCTAATAAAAAGCTTTATTAATCGATAATAAGAAATTTTATATTACAAATGTATAATTAACTGTTATTATATAGTACATTATACTATAAATATTTTATTTCAAATTGCCACAAAGAAGAAATCATTCTGGATGTACTCATTATTTGCTGTATCATATTGTTGAAAAGAACAGTTTGAATTACAATAGTGAATAAAAGGAATGCTTGATGAATATAATACGGTAGAAATTAGATGAACCTGATTCAAAGAATTATTTTGAATATGATAAACTGGACAATCTAACAAAGAATCCCGGTTATTAAGATTTTTCAGCCAATCAAAACAAAGAAAAACATATTCTTAATTGTTATTCCATGAATGTTCAATTATACTCATTATTTTGCCAAGTGTTGGTTCGCTTTCACCAAATCATATAACTTCAACTATTTCGCCAACTTTTAATTTCACGTTACGATAATCACCATCAGGTTTAGATGTTGTAAATAATACATTTTCATAAAAGTGAACTTGTGTTTCTAGTAAAGCCTGCTTAAACAAATAGATGAGGAGTAGGCCTTCATGATATCTTCAAATAAGCTGTTTGTTTTAATATTTGTTGATATAAATCCAGCTGCTTCGATTTGATTTCTATTCCATCTTATCCCCAGTTTTATTTCTAAACAATTAAAAAGTTCGGGATGGGTAATATCAATTGAATTATCTAAAAAAATTAAACATTTGTAAGTATATAATAAAAAAAAAAGAGAAATTACATTTTTTATCCCAGGTTAAGTTATCCAAACTATATAAAATACTATAGTATTGATTCTAGTCACATGTTAGTCATTATAGCTTATTAGATAACTTTAACTCGGGTGAAAAGAAATTCAAAATGTATTTTACCCTCAAATTGTAATCGATTAGATATATCATTCGAATAATATATTGATTAGCTATAGTCATTAATGCACCAACCAAATAATAAATGGCAAAGTCACGGTGCAATAATTAATGGTATGAAAATAGATCATGTTGAATAATGAGGCATTCGATCATCTACTCCACCATCTACAAGATGCCTTAAAGTTTGTAATGTATTAATTTGCTGTAATAAAGTAAGTTCCAGATTATGTTTGTTGGTGTGCGGAACTATTGCTTTGAATATTCGGTGTACCATTTCTTTTATGCCAACTGCTGTATTTATACAGATTGCATATTGATGTGCAGAATCTACTAAATGGCAGCTTACATGTAAATTAGGAAAAAGCTAATAATAAAATGAATTATTATTATTTATAATTGAATTTTTAAATACAAATATTAATTATGAATATGTAACTTACATTAATTAAAGCATTATATTCATTATTTAAAATTGTTTGTAGATAAGAATATCCATTAGATTACCATATAGTTAAAGAAAACACTTCTTTAGCTGCCTTAGCAGAAAGTACCCAAGTATGAATAATATAATTGCGTACTTCTGATCGATGAGAAAATTGTAACCTATTATGTGTAGATTTTAAAAAATTATCTTTGATACTATTAATAATTAAACAATGCTTTAAGATAAAAGAAAATATCATAAGAATTCTTAAATTGCCAGACATCATAAATGAATGTTGATGAGTTATTGGATTTGGTAAGCGACACCATTGTGTTGGAGTTTCAATGTTTTTTCAATAATTGATGAGATTATTTTCTTCGTATGACATTAATATTGAGCAAATATAGTTAAGCAGTCGAGCTGCTTTTCCCACAATTGTATGATATGCATCTGTGGTACATGCAAATTATAATTATGCAATATCAAATCTAATAGTTTAGGTAAAAGTCTTAAGCCATATTGAGAACAAAGTTTTGACTTTGCAGTTTTTGAAGTTTGCTAATTTATAATCTGAAACTCTTGATCTGTCACTTGATGGTATAGAGCATAATAGTAAATATTAAATGAAAGATTTGTAAATTGATCTTTAGTCGCTTTACATATTCGACAGTCTTGGTATGTATTATGGCGTAATGTTCTAGCAATGTCATTTTCTGAGGAAGATCTGAAGTAAAAACACCTAATCCTCCCATTACCCAATAATCAACTTCATTTAAATTTATTACAAACCCTTGTTCAAGTTTTTTGACTTCTTCAATAAAAGGTTTAATGAAGTCTTGGATACTTCCTTCAAAAAGTACAAATCTGATAACAAAATTATTACAGAGTTTCTTTCTTAACTTATGTAGCATATTACCAATTTGTAAATAAACACCACCTAGTGAGTGATACACATTTCTAAAGGTACCAAAGTTATTATAGTACAAATTTAAGAAGAATTTTAAGACTGGCATAGTTGAATTAGGTAGTGAATTCGTTGATATATATTTAGATGGATGTTGATTTCGAAATTTAATAGGGCGACACTTCCAAGATCCATTAAAGTAATATAAAACTTCATTTACAAATAAATCAAAGAATAGAGAAGGTAATTGATCCTTAAGCCAAACTTCAATTTTCTTTATTAAAAAAGATGGTTTTATAATATAGTTGCTTGTTTCTTCAACTAAAAACCACTCTTGAGCCTGTAGTTCACGTTCTGAAGAATATAAATTCTGTGGAATTCTACTATAAGGAAGTAGTCGCTGTATTTGAACTTTTATTAAATTGTCTTTGATAACAAATGACTGAATTCGACTATGTTGTAAAATCTCACGTGAATGATATTGAATGAAGTCACCGGACTTAAAAGATCCTAAATAAAAAATATTTTTTTGAGTAAAAATATTAAAAAAATATATAATTATATAAAGTAATACTATTGCTATAATTTTTAATTTAATTATTTACCTCGTGAAGTTGTTATATTGGATTGACCAAAAAGGGGCATTTCTGCCCAAAGATTTCCTTCCCACAATTCTTCACATGAGTCAGAAAGAATTCTTGGTCCAAAGTACAAGTAAGAGCTAATAATTAGATTTTTTAATATGCATTGAAGATACTTAATTAAAGAGAAGTAATAAACTTTTGTAAAATTTTTTGTTATAGATGGTGTATTTCGAGTATTAATTGGAACTTTATGACTTTGGATTTGCATTAAAGGTAATGTTTCACAATATTTTTTGAATGTTTGTAGATTAGTAATTAGATGAGTTTTATCAAATTGTGAATTAAGTAAAATTTGAATTAAGTCTTAATAAGCTGTTTTTGCTTAAAAAAAAAATAATAATTAAATCAAATTCATATCGATATATTTAAAAATCTATTGAATTTTATACAAATATATATTTACATAACATATGTTTTACAGTCCATATAAATATCGCCATAGTTGTAAAGTTGTCAAATATGCCAAATTAATCTTCTGAATTCCATTTTATATTAAAATCTGTTTTATCAAATATTTTTGATGAATTATCAAAAGTCTCATCTTCAGAGCTATTATTGTCTGAATTCATATCATAAAACTTATTGTCATATTCCATATTATTCCAACTCATTTTATTCAATTCATCATTATTAGGTTCTCTATTATAATATTCGAAGTTTCTATTGTTGTTATCATCATATCCAAATTCTTGGTTATCATGTTGCCAATTTAGGGTTTCAATTTCATCAATTTTATTTGAATCTTCTTGCTGTAGCCAATTATTATTAACTTGGAATATTGAAATATTATCATAACTAAAAGTTGTATTTTTTGTAGTTTTAGGTGCTCTTAAGTGATATTGTGAAGTTTCAGTTTGTAAAAGTCGGTGTCTGGACATGTTTAAAGAAAAAAGAAATTCTTATGCAAATTTCTTATGTGAAATATATACCAATTTGGCACGTGATACACATACCATGATTCTGATTAATCAGATCTACGTAACAGAATATGATCACATATGCAGATATTAGTAATATTATGCAATTGCTTACTTATTATTAAATTAATATAAAATAAAATAAATGTTTTTTTTTAGAAAATTTGTTGTTAAATATGGCAAAAACTAGAGGTGGAAAAACTACAAATAGTAAAAGGGTAAAAAAAAAAAGCTATCAGTAAATATAGACATACTTATAAAGACTTAATGAAATATTAATATTAATATTAATTAATACTGTATTATTACTTTTAGAAGAAACATCTGATGAAGAGAATTCTAAACAACAAGCGATATCTAATAAACGTTTAAGACAAATGATTTATAAAAATGGCAATTTTTTTTAGATAAATCTAATGAACCTGCTCGTGCTTTATTTGTGCCAATAAATTTTAATAATAATGTACTGATACCAGCTAATAATATAGCTCGATCAATTCAACGAAGCCAAGACTCTTATAATTATAATGATTATTCGTCAAATTATGCAAATCATACAAGATTATCATACAACGTTAATCCAGAATTAATTCATAATTTGCCATCAAATGTTCTGATTCAGTCGAATTTTATAAATCCAAATTTGACTTATAATACTTATTCATCAAGTAAAAATTTCAATAGATTACAAGTCTCATATAATAATACAAATAATTTTGAAGACAGATCCATGATATCCAAAAACTCTGTTATATCAGAGCAGCAGCATAGAAGTTTGTCACAAGCAACCACTATGTCATTGGACGAAGTATCAGATTTGTATTCACCAACTTATCAAGATAAAGACTCCTCATGGCAGCAAAATTCTTATAACTATCATAAAGAGAATAATTTAAAATCAAATCTACAACCTCAGCATACACTAGTAAATTCTAATAATATGGCTAATATGGCTACACAATGACTTGATAATAACTCAAAAGAGTTAAATTTTTCTAATGAGCAATCGTTAGTTAATTAGCTATGCACACAGCCAAATTTGATTATGCAAGTACAAAATTTAACAGCATCTTTACCAAATAAGGTTTGTTTAATTTATAACACATGTAGATGCATATATATATATGTATATATGTATTAGTTTTATTCTAAACTATACATTATTTATTAGGCTAAAGCTAATTTCTTAGAGCCGATGAATAAAGAAACTACAATAAATCTAGTTATGGAACAATGCAAGCTTCTGTTTTTATGCATATGAAATCCTAGCAGAAAAATATGTGAAAAGCTAATTAAAAAGATTGTTCTATCAATGGATCCAGTGTCTAAAGAATTCAAAGCATTATATCGGAAAACATGTGAATACTTCGATAATTTTTGATATACATTTAATAAGGATATGGCAGCTCTTGCCAAGGATTTACTTGTTAAAAACTGGTATGTACAGAATATTAGATATAAATAATACAGCTCATCATTTAGTATTACATAAATGTCTATGGGTAGACTAACGTTAATATTTAATATCAAATATACTGTAGTGATCCAATGGATAAAAATATTAAACAATTCATTGCTAGTAAAGTCTGGTAACAAAAACTTCTTGAAGCTAGTGACTTCTCAGAGTTTAAAAAATCTCAATCTTCACTCAAGTCACTTGAAAACTTTATTGCTGAAAGTTTGAAAATTCATGTCGACTATCAGATTGCAGTTCATAATAAAGAAAAACTGTCTTATAGTGAAAATGTTTTAACAAAAATTAAGAAACTCGATCAACTTACTCTTTATATAATTATTCTATTGGCAAGCCGAATGAATTAGATCTTAATCAAATTGATATAGAGTCTTCACATAATGAGTACTCTAACTTTATTTAGTTAATGCTGAAAAATGCAGTCTTTTCTTATTATAAATATTTTCTAACATAACATAACAGCTTAGTGTTTTAAAATAAGATCTTTTATAGATAAATTATTCAATCTATTATGTATAATAAAAATAAAAATTCAAAGAATCATTTGCTTTATTAATTTATATACTATAGTATAAATTTAGTAGTTTAAATTTTTATTGTATAATTTATCAAGAATCTTTAATATGATCTTGTATATATACTAACATTTATAGGCTTTTTTGTCTATATAATATGAAGCAATGGCAGATTAAAAATCAATGCTAGTTTTTTTTTTGAAAAGAATCTGCATATTGGAAAAAATAAGATGTCAAAAAATAGGATATTGAAAAAAGTGGGATGTTGGAAAAAATGGGATGTCAGAAAAAATAAGACATCAGAAAAAATAGGAAAGGTGTCTTTTTTTTTTTTTTTTTTTTTTTTTTTTAGGTTATTTTTTTTTTTTTTTTTTTTTTTTTTTTTTTTTTTTTTTTTTTTTTTTT